ACGTGATCTCGATGACGCAACAATATATTGTTATGAACTATATTCTAAATGTTTTAATTCAGATGTTAGCAAGACGGTGCATGATGTTAACATCAAGAAAGTTTGTAGAATTAGGCTTAAAATGTCCCTAAAATCACGTAATTTGCGAAGTATCTAGAAACAAGGCTACATAATAAGTGCGATATGCGGGTATATTGTGGGTTTACTACCTTCTATCTTATCCCAAATTATCAATTTTCTAGTTTCTGTACTGTCACGGTAACGTGTAGTGTAGGACGTCTCATTATCTTGTTCTAGCCACCTCAGCCCTTTGTTCTTTTGTTAGATGATGTCTGCTGTTCACAAAGATATTTCAGAGTATTTTAAGTTTTGTCAAAATAAATATGACATGTAGTTAATTTCATCTTTCAAGATGCCTCATGAGGCAATATTGGAGATCTATTAGAGCTAATGTAACAGTAACAGTTAAAAGAAAGTCAAGAAGAGCAAGTTAGAAAATTTAAAGAAGTTCAAGAAGAAAGAGACTAAAAATTTGAAGAACGAGATAGAAAATTAGAAACACATGATAGGAAATTAAAAGAAGACAAGAGGGTAAAAGACAGGAATTTAAGAGAGGCGTTAAAAGAAAGACGTGTACTGTTTAAAGAATAATACAAATTATTAATAAATTTTATTGAAGAAAAGATCGATGGAACTATTGGAGATACAAAAAGATTATAACAACAAGACTAAAGAAGTACAAACAGACAGTCTGTAGTGGCAAAATCGACAAAGTACAGAAAGGATGTAACAAAAAATTGATAACGTAAAAAAAATATACATCAATGTGGTAGAAAATAATATCAGTAACAGAATACGCGTCTGGAAAAAGAATTATTAAATATAAACCAGCCACACCACTTTCTGCAGTGGCTCATGTTATGTTATCTGTTAATGAAAGACCTTCTTGGACTACTTCAGCCATGACACTATCAAATCAAGTTGCAGAATTTAGCTGCTCACTTTAACATCAGCCAGTTTAGAAACCAATGGACTATGAAGGGAAGATAACATGAGAGTCATTTCCACAGTGAACAAATTAAATTGTGAACAACAAGCTATTCATTTTGTCATCCATTTAAAAGAACCAGCTTTGACAACATTAAGTAACCCTCCAGTTAAGAGCTGTAACAACTATCAAGCAAAATTAGCTAGCTGCCTTATCCAACAGGTTTGGAGCGACACACCAGAAGGAAGTATCCACAGTAAAGTTTCAGAATATGGTACAGAAGAAAGAAAATACTTTAGCTGAGCTTGCAAATGATTTGAAAAGACTTACCCAATTACACTGGACAACAAGAAATTTACTACTGGAGAAAACTCGAGTGATTTGGGGTAATTTGATGGTGCTGATTTCCAAAATGTAGTCAGAATTTGTCAATCACCTCTAGGCTTCTAGTCATTGTAATATCTCAATATTTTATCAGCACTATGTGAAATACCATGCAATCACCTCAGTAAAATAGATTTATGCCGTGAAATTTAGTTTACTTGGACAGTTTTAATGAGTAAACATCGACTGTATTATATTGGTGTAAAATTCCAAATATATTGTTCATATATATACTATTTATTCTCCATATAATTGTAGCTAGTTGCACCACTTTTGCTTCATTCACACGCTCACCTATTCCGCCCAGGAATCACGAAACTCTCGCGTGCTCACTTTGCTAGAACATTCGAGAAATCACGCGACTGAGCATAAAAGAGGCAGAATCAGACACCTCTCTCACTCAGTTCGTCACTTCGCCTCACTCTGTGCACAGTCAAAACAAAATCTGATCTTCTTCCTCGGATCATACCGCGATATAATCCAATTCTGCAAAACTTTGTTTATAAAATCTTTTGAACTCTAGTTTTGTAAACATAAATTATTTTATATTTGTTAGAAAATCCCTTGGAATGCTGGCTGTCTCCAGTTCAATAAAGTCCAAATTTGTAAAAATCAGCCAAACAGTTTCTGCTACATTTATGGAAAATATATTACAGTGTCATGAAGGGAAAACATCACTCACAAGGTAATGGTAGCTACTACCACTATTTTGGTTGTAAAATTGGTGACCAAGAAAAACATTAGGTTCCACATGTATGTTGTACAGTTTGTACATCTGGCTTGACACAGCTGCCGAATAAAAAAATAGCAAGTACTTTGTGATTCTGTACAAATGTTGATGCACTAATGTAAGAATTAGGTACTGAGCATTATTCTCAAGAATGGAGACTTTTTATCAATTCATCTAATCTAAAGTCAGTTTGAATGCTGTACTTTTGCACAATGGGAACTCTAAGCCATAAATTCTTGTTGCTCATGCTGTGGAAATAAAAGAAACTTATCAAAGCATGCAGATTATACATTCTTAAATGCAATTTTCAATGAATAAAGTTATTTAAAAAAATTGTAATTTCCACGACATATAAGAATATTTTGAATAAATCTCCCATAACTCAAAAACTAAAGGTGATCAATAATTTTCAACATGATTTTTAGAATCAGCATTGTCAGATTACTCAGAAACAGTTGTATTTTTTCTAGTAGCAGAGAAAAACGTTTTTTTTTGTCCAGTGTTATCTTATGTGAATGCTTCTCATGAAAAGATGGATTCGTTGGCATGTGATAAAATTATAGATGCCATA